TTTTAAGTGGGAGAACTTGCACAATTGGTGGCTGACTAAATGCTTTTTTGCCCCACTGTACCTGAGCCTATTCCAATTCATAAAGGAGTTAAACAAGGATGTATTCTAGCCTCCCATTGTTTAACTTTTACATTAATAATATTGTTGTAGCTTTTGCCAATCCATACTTCCATCCTCCATCCCTCGCCCATTGTCCAATCCCTTCTTCTGTACACGGATGATGCAGCTATTCTTTCCATTTCAAAAATTGGGCTGTGTAGAGATTTCAAGGAGCTTTCGAGGTACTGTGATAGAGAATGTCTCGAAATAAGCTACCAGAAGATGAAAAGTTCTGGTTTTTTCCAGAAGATGCTCTGGTAATTTATCAAGTTAATGGCAGACCCATTGAGCAGGTTAAAATAATTTAAATGCCTAGGTATTCACTTCCAATCTTCAACATGCTGGGGTCATCAAATAAGAGAGTTAGCTAGGAAAGCTCAAAACGTATTTCTAGCGATCAACAAATTTGCTTGTTGGAGGGAGAACAACTTTGTCCCTGCAGCAGTTGAACTATTCAAGGCCAAAGTTCTTGGCATGCTGCTATATGGATCTCAGATGGGTATTTACAAAAATTTCTTAATCCTTGAACAAACAAAATTTTTAAAATCAGTAGCACATATCTCATACTCTATTTCTAATGCCAGATTAGAACTAGATTGCACATTTATCATAACATGCTCATGATTCATTAATGCGGGGGACAAAGAACACTAGCAACTTCGAAGTTTTGCTTTGGAATTAGAAGTAATACATTTTTGACATCCAGAACAGATGTTGAAGTTTGCTGAGGGAACTAGCAATATTGTCTGAATTTTGCCTGTCAATATTGTCATTCTTACAGCTCCATTTTAATTTCTCTTTGCTTTTAGATTTCTGGAATATGCTACAGTAGTAGTCTTTTAAAAGTGTACCGTGTACTTTGTGTGCCCACTGGCATAGCAAGGATATTTGCTTGGACTCTTGAACCAATTTTCTCATCTGCGGAACCATCTAATGAGTTTGGAGTTGGAATGGGAGCAACTATTGATATACAGAGGCAACAGCGGATGGAGCTACTTGATCGACAGATCTTGATGTCACAGTTTGCTCAGATGAGGCGGCAAAGACAAGTAAAGTCTTTTTTCTGTGGGATGTAACTTATTTGTGAAATGGACGTACACCATTTATAAAGTTAATCCTTCATAAAATTACAGTCATTATATTATGGACATGTTCTGTTTATTCACAGAACTTCCTTAATCTGGTCCCTAATTAATTAATTAGGTAAATCCCTAATAGCTCCATTTGCACAACATGCCAAATTTGGTTTTTATTAATCTTGGTTAGGCTTTTCTCTCTCTTTGTGTCTGTGTGTTTTTCTTGTTTTAGGGTGCTCTTCAAACTCATACCATTTGATCAGTTTATAGTTGAATGTATTATGTGAACTCATGTAATGGTTTTTCAGTAACCAGGTTAACCTTATTGGGTGATGACATGATTTTGCTTTACATTGACTTAATTATGCTTACAAGTCTCTAAGGGTGCTTAAAGATATCTGTCAGGAGTTCCCCTTTCCTCTGTTCTAAAGCTCCCCAGAATTTGAACTTGTAGCAGGGTGTCTTCTGACCTAATGTCCCAACAGGACAAACATGCATGTGCTGGTCTTACCGAGGGTTCCATTTGTGGAAATGACATTTACAGTAATAACTGGAACCACAATTCTAAATATGAACAATGCAAACTTAATTGGCCTTTGCGCAGACTATATATGCCTATGTACACAAAAATCCAAACAACTTAAATATTGATCCAAAAATTGACTTTTTCCCCCCATTTCTTTTTTGGGAGAAGTGGGGGGTATAGGGTAGAGATAGGATGTTAAAGGTGATTTAAACCAGGTAGTGACCTCAGAGGACAAAGGTTTGCTGATGCTTGGTGGAAAATTACAATTTGTTGGCCGAATTCCTGCCTGTGGCTAACTCTAAGTGCAATTGCTCCCACTCTTAAAAAAAATGTATTTGAGTGAATTTACCCTTAATCATATTAATTCCATGTGCTATGGGGAGGTTGGGTGGGGATAAGAGTGACTTCAGTGTGATTTTTAGCAGAACCAAAAAGAAGCTTTAAAACTGATAAATACAGAATTCTTCACAGGACTCATCTTCCTGACTCAGAGGAACATCAGTGGTCTGGTCTACCTCAAAAAAACTTCCGGAGTAGAATCTTAAATGAAATGTTCTTGAGGGCAGTGGCTTCTGCAATGTGGTTTTAAAGTGATGAAATACTTTAAAGTTTCATACTTCCCCTTACAAATGTGTTTCCCAGATTCCATTCTTGTTTCATTCACTCCAGTTGCCCAAGATTCTCCTCACCACTGAATGTCTTGACTGAGGTATAAATATAGGAGGCATATTTAAGTTAAAGGCATATTTATGAAACTGATAGGATTCTGACTGTATTTGGACCCAATTCAAAAGGGTCTTAATTCCTTACTCCCACTGCCAACCCTTTGCTGTTATCTACACCCTATCACTAATCCTTTTTTTCCCCTTAAAGTATCTCATGTGTGTTGATGTCTCAAACTCCTTTCTGGAAGGTTGTGATTTGATGGTTGTGTGCTGAGATCAGAAGAGCTGAGTTAGTCTGTCTGTGGACTTAAAGGTTCATAAAAATTTACTGTTTTATTGTCATTTTGCTTTAGCATTTCCTTCTTGGCTATTTAAGCTTCTTTATAGAGACCAGTTTACTTTAATCTTTTCCAAACAGTTGTTGTCATCTGTGGAGAATATATGGAAAATATCTGAATTTGCAAAGGACATTTATCATTTTGGGATTTTTTCACCTCTCAGAGACAATGTTGTTGTTTAGTCGTTAAGTCGTGTCCGACTCTTCGTGACCCCATGAACCATATTGCGCCAGGCCTTCCTGTCCTTCACTGCCTCCCGGAGTTTGCTCAGTTTCAT